TCATTGATCAAGTAATAACCAACCCACTAATCTACTGTCGCTGTTTACTTAAGAAAACGGCCTGACTTAATTTACGACTGACCCGGAAACTTTCAATTGCTCTGACCAAATCTTTATCAAGCTTGAGGTAAGCTACTGTTAAAGAGTCAACAATCTAATCCATCGCATACTTTTTGCGGTAGCAAAACCAAGGTTTTTCCCCCTTTTTAATATATTTTCTTTCAGAAGTTAAGGTGCTTTTCTTTTTCGCGAGGTGTGAAAGTTCTTTTGTTTTAGCCCAAGATGTTTATTCGCCTAATCAGCTTCCCTTCCAACGCCTACCGAACGTGGTTTCTTCACCCCGTGGCCAAGTTACACGTAGAGGCCTCTGTCAGGGAGCAGGCGGATCAGTGCGTAATTCACAACGTCGACGTCAATTTTGTGAGCTGCGGTTGGAGCTCGATTCCCCAACATTTTTTTTACAACTGATTATAACTTTTTTTAACATTACTGTGTATAAACATTCCAAAAATGTGTATGCCAGTTTCTTAGGGACGCCTTATTTATTCCCCGCTGCCTTAACGGCAGCAGCTTTACTGAATTTGCGAGACATAGGCGCTGGTCACGCCGCTCTACCGCATGTTCACCTCAGGAAGCAGGCAGGTAGAATTGCGGGATTGTGGAAGTCCTCATCTGTTTTCTCGTCTTTCGGACGGTGTACTGCTTGCTGCGGTTTGCAGTAGCCGCTCTGCTATTCAGAATGCTTAGCGAGAATTAAAAAATAATCATAATAATTTGTTTTAAATTTAGTTTGAGTTTCTTTCTTGATTTTTTTCTCATAAATTTTGCGCTGTTTTCTCAACTATTATAAAGTTTCCACGTAAAAAATTGTTTTCCAGCTGTCGTTCGGCATTTTAATCAGAGAGTGTCATACAGGTGTTCGAGTGCCGAAAAGTCCCCATAAACAGCAGCAGCAGTTTGAAATATTGGACTTGAAAGTATTCGTTGATCGTTTAAAGTATTCAAGGATCTCAGCTAGGCCCTCTTGTAGTTGTTTCTTACTAAAAATACTAAAAAAAAATTACACAGCTTTGAAATCAAAATTGACTCAGGTTTCGGCATTTTTCTGAACCATTGCGGAATTTTCAGAACAACTTGAATCTTTGACTTAACGCTCGCTATTCTTGATTCTTTTCTCTACAAGGAATCATTGATCAAGTAATTACCAACCCACTAATCTACTGTCGCTGTTTACTTAAGAAACCGGCCTGACTTAATTTACGACTGAAATATAATTCGACCCGGAAACTTTCAATTGCTCTGACCAAATCTTTATCAAGCTTGAGGTAAGCTACTGTTAAAGAGTCATCAATCTAATCCATCACATACTTTTTGTGGTAGCAAAACCAAGGTTTTTCCCTCTTTTTAATATATTTTCTTTCAGAAGTTAAGGTGCTTTACATTTTCGCGAGGTGTGAAAGTTCTTTTGTTTTAGCCCAAGATGTTTATTCGCCTAATCAGCTTCCCTTCCAACGCCTACGGAACGTGGTTTCTTCACCCCGTGGCGAAGTTACACGTAGAGGCCTCTGTCAGGGAGCAGGCGGATCAGTGCGTAATTCATAACGTCGACGTCAATTTTGTGAGCTGCGGTTGGAGCTCGATTCCCCAACATCGCCGCTGGCCCTCACCGTTCCCAGAGATCCTATCCCGAGTTTCTACACCCGATCTCGGACACGCCAATATGACTAACCAGCGAAGCCAAAGAGCGCGCAGCCTTAGAAGCACATCAACAGAATTAGTGATATGATTGATCGGCCTAAAAAAACACATCGTTTTAGCCTATGCTGTTGTGTGCATTCATAAATACTCATCAAAGTCTTGAATGGCAAATCTTGGACCCGCTGTTTTTTTTCACAAAACTTTCGTAAGCTTGTAGCCAAATTACCCCGGCTGCTAACTAATCACATTAGGCATACTTTTCGAACTCTGTTAACCTATTACGCCCAGTGCAATCTACTCTATACTATTTTCTACAACGTAATCTAGTTCGTAATTTATGCCAATTAATCGCAGACCCATTGGTCGACCCTTTTAATTAAAAACACAATTCACCGCTATTGTATAGATTAGAATAGCTTGACTTGGGTATTCAACCGATATCTATTTTACTGGTCAGGGTCTGAGCCAACCTTTTGAGGTGCAAGAGGTTTATCTATTACCTTTGTAACCAAACACTTAACCGTTTCGGGAAGGTAGCTAAACATGACGAAAACGCTGCATCCAGTTTCCAAGATTTGCGCGAAAACTAATTCCAGCACCAGTGTGGACCGGTTCGTTTAGAGCGAGTCGCATCCTCGAGATTATACTTAGCTACGAAACCACTATCCCACGGTCAGTCCCACCATGAATTTGACAACCCACAAACCAGTCACCTTCGAATGCTCCTGTGCTAATTCAAGTTGTTTATTTTTGACTGCATCTAATATTTATTGACGGGTAAATCCCATAAACCTATCCGGTTGCAGGCCGAGTTAGTTATTCTGTTATCAATCATTTTCTTTTCCCTTTTAACTCCGGGCAACCTTTTTAGAAGGGGAAGCGTTGAAACTGATCTTCATTTACTTGCCCAGCTGCTCGGAGTTAATTTTTACGAATATCATGCCAAACAAGACTCCCCAGATGGCTATATGTAGCGGAAAATACACGCGGTCAGGACGGCTGCGAAGCTTTTTATTTTTATCACCATACTCAAACCGAGCGACCTCAGAGGGAAAAAAGGCATTCGACCTTTATCACAGGAATGAGACCAAGAGCTGCTGAGGTACATTCCATACTTTCTGTGGTAGCAAAAAACCAAAGTTTCTTCCCCCTTTTTTTATTCTATTATCTTTCAGCAAGTAAGGTGCTTTTGAATTTCGCAAAGGGAGAGAAAGTTTTTGTTTCAGCCCAAGATATTTATTCACCTAATCAACCTCCTTGCCGACGCCTATCGACGTGGTTTGTTCACCTCGTGGCGACGTTCAGTGCAACCCGTTCCAAGAGATCCCACCCCGAGTTTCTACACCCGTTTTCCGACACATCGTTTCAGTCTATGCTCTTGTGTGACTTGGGCTCTTGTGTGACTTGGGTGCTCAACCGCTATTTATTTTACTCGTACTGGTGTGGGTCTGAGCCAACCTCTTGAGGTGCAAGAGGTTTCTCTTTTTAGCTTTGTAATCAAACACTCGGGAAGGTAGCTTTACTTGACAAAACGCAGCATCCACTATATGCACGAAAACGAATTCCAGCACCAGTGTGGTTCGGTAGGTTTAGAGTGAGTCTCAGCCACTAAATTTTACTCAACTTTTCTACGAAACCACTGTCCCTCTGTCAGCGGTGCTTGCAACGGCTGCAAGTTCTTCGCCTGATTATGATCGACGACAGACCAATGAGGCCCCTTAGTTTAATATCAGGAAAAAGTTGTGCCGGAAGTTCAACCTTAAGATGGGAGCAACCCGTCACCCACGGAGGACAGCCTCATCATAAATTTTACATTGCACCAACCAGTCACCCTCGAGTTTGCCCGTGCTAATTCACGTTTTTTCCTTGATTGTATCTATTATCTACATACCAGTAAACCCCATAAATCAAACCGGTTGCAGGCCGAATCAGTCAAGCAGCAACGTGAATAGTTATCCTTTTATCAATAATTTTATTTCGCCCCCTTTCAATCCCGGGCAACCTTTTTAAAAAGGGAAGTCGTTGAAACGGATCTACATGTACTCGCCCAGCAGCTCGGGGTTCATTTTTACGAATACCGTTAGAGGGCCTGGCCCTAATACTATTCACGAGGCGCATTTGTCTTCAATCTGACACTTTCAAAAAGATTCTCTGCTAAAAAGGAAATCCCCAGGCAGCACGCCATTCAAACTCAACATTTGGTACTGAATACCCAAGGCAAAAGATGAAAATTTTGCACTTCAAAAACAGGACGACAATCCGAAAGTATTAGGACGAAATATACAAATCCGAAAGTATTAACTATTTTTCAAAATTTATTTGAAAAAATTATCTACTACGCACATAATAAAAAAATTGTTTTACTTGAATTTTCAAGAAAATGAGAATGTCAGACAAGAATCATGTCAGAATGTGAGGGGCAAGTGTAAGAAAAGTTGTTTAAGGGAAAAAAGTATAGTCCCCGATCACAAGTGAAAAAAAAATTGAATCCTTCCAAAAAGTACTTCGGATAACTTTACTTGGGATTGACAGACTATCTTTTTCAGAACACTAACAGAATAACCTCCTCTCCAGACAAGCAGTGGAATACCTTTTCTTTTCAATCTTTTCTCCATTATCTTCCCCCAAATTTTGTATGAGAAGAATGGAATAGATTTACAATTGGAATTTCCCCCAATCTGGTATAGGTTATCAGTAGATGAACAGTTATCTTATCTATGAGCCTTTCATTTTAATCAACTTCTTTAAATTATGTGTTTGTATATCATTTATCATTTTAACTCTAGGACCAGATCAGATCGACTATGTTCTATGATAAAAAATCAGAACTGGGACTGATAATTTTAGTTACTTACTAACTGGAACAAAAAAAACTCAAACAACGAGCATTCTTTCTTTTAGTAAAGTACGGTTCTCGACACACAGTATCGCGACACGAGTTTTGAATAGTTGCTTAGTCCACTGATATTAGAAAGGCAAGTCAACTTGAGAAATTTTCAACTAGATGCTTCGAATGAAAATTGATTTAAAGTGTCAGCGCTTTTTGATTTGTGAGTCTTCAAACTCTTCTGGTCTGCTTGTCGAATAAAAATAACCGTATATCCAACCGAAATAAAGCATAAGTTTAATAACAAATGGTTTCATTTGATTATCAGATTTATGTTGCCATTTAGCACCAATTATAACAATTCATTGGACTGATTGCCTTTGGGCGTCCAAAACTGCACAACATGAGGACATATCACTCAAACATGTCTAAATTCAGGAAAAATGAAAATTCAAATTGAAATATCTTCAAATACTGATTTTAAAACTTTTGTCAATTTAATTTTATTAAAACTCGATTGGGAAACAAATGGGGTGGGAACTGCTTTCAAACAAATAATTGCCACAAATAAATTGGAATAACTTCAAACAGACCTATCTATGGTAGCCGATCCATCGTAATTTAAAGACTGAAAATCAGGAGAGGAATGGATAATTAAAAAAACACCAGTACAAATAAATAGCAGCTTCTTGTTCACAGCGTGGTATTAGTTAAATAATCTATTCTAGCTGAATTAAGAGACCATTCCTGGAGCAAAATGTGATGGATGATCCCAGATCCTATTTAAAATTTCGACATTCGCTGAGACTTGGCATCTCTCGGTGCTTTTTCATGTGCATCTTCCATCTTTCCCAGAAGATCAAATAAAATAATTATTAGAGGATTGGAGCTGAATTTTTTGGATGACAGATTGGAGATATTAATCACATTAAATCCCATTTCCTTTCGTGAGGTTCTTTCTTTTTTCACTATCTAGATTTCTCCCCTCCCTCGCCCTCGCCCTCGCCCTCGCCTCCGAGCACCTGTCTGTGATGAGGGGCCTTGGCAGCTTTCAAATCCATCTCGCTCTGACCTGGCTGGCCCTGCAGAATACGACCGTTCGCATCTATCCGAAACGTGTCCACCTGAATGAATAAAAATTTCAAGACTCAACGGCAGGTCATTGGAGGGGGGGGGGGGGTTTCAAAACAAATCAGATTAGTTATCCATTACTAATTAAATTTAAAAAACCATGTTCAACAATTAAGCAAAATTGACCGATAAAGCTGCCACTCTGTATTTCTGGGAATTTAAAAAACAAAAGATAGGCCTGGATTGAGTTTGGAGCTCTTATATACGGAACTGCAACAAAACTGTTACTTAAGACTTCGAGAAACACCAGCACTTTCTATGGCGATTTCACTGAAAGTTAAAGAATGTAGCAGTTTGACTGAAATACGCATCGAGTGAAAACTTTTAAAACAAAATCGGCACATCTAAAGCAGCCTGCAGTCAGGCTCTTATCAAATATCTTACGAGGTTGCACGCAAAAGGATGAACTAAAATAAGCAATAAGCAATATCGAGTAATCAAAATAGTAACCGCAAAAAATCAAACTAGAGCCTCAACAATTTAAAGACTTTTCTTGCAAAAACAACAAAAGTATTACGACGTAAAAAAATCTTCACTGCGTTCATTGACTCTTAAAAAACGAAATGTCTGAAAAAAAGTTTTTTATACAAGTTAGATGAACCAACAAATGGAAAAAGAAAAACACTTGAAAAATTTCAAAATTTTTTTAAAATAGCAAAAAAAAAATCTGAAATCTAGGCAATGAATCACCTGCACCTTAAGAAATGTTAAAAACAGAGGCAGATCGATGCTTCGCAATGCCTGCGATACAGCAAAAACATAGCATATACAGAAATACAAAAAATAGACTTATTATACAGAAGTAGAGAAAAGTTAAAAAAGTGAAAAAGATTGATAAAAATTCAACAATTTTAAAAATTGAAAATAAATCGAAAAAACTGATATACCAAAAATTTCCCTTTTGTTTGTCTTGTTTTTCTTTTCAATAAAAACTCTTATCAAAAAATTATGCCAAGAAGTAGGACGATTGAATGTTAAATAACCATCTAAACAAACTTAAACATAGCCACCAGACAGTTGGAAAGGAGTCGATGAACGCAAGTAAACAGAAGCAAATCTCATCTTTCAAAATAGAAAGGATGCATGAAATTTGAATTTCAAGAACAATTTATGCTTGATACTTTTTTGATAAATTTAACCCAATTTGAGAAAACTGGATCATTAGGTAAAAGTTTTATTTCACTGGGAAATCTGACAAAGAAATTCCACTTTCCAAACTAGAAGTCGATCACGTTTATCGTGACCTTTACACTTTTGTTGTTCAATAGCGGAGTTTGCCTTCCTTTTAACAAGACTTTTCCTGAAAAAAAAAACAAAAAAATCATCGCGACCTATATAAGAGTCTGAACTACGTTGATCGACTCTCGATAAGCGGTAATAAAGCCGACAATTATTCAGCGGACACACATTGAGCTTAAAAATGTTTAATTTAAAAAAAATTGAAAACTCAAAAACATAGCCAATCGAAGATGGGAAAAAAGCAAGGAACGCCAATACACATAAAAAAAAAAACACTGACTTTGTTTTAAAAAAATCTGAACTTTCGAATTTCAAAAAAAATAGATGTCCTTTAAGCTCTTTGAATTTCTAGAGCGATTTATGACTGGCGCTTTTTTGATAACACTAACTCAACCTGAGAATACTGGATCAACAGGTAAAGTTTTTATTCCGCTGGAAATCTAAAATTTAAATTCCACTTTCGAAATTAGAAATTGTTCACGTTTTTTCGCGCCATTTCCACGTTTGTATTTGGAGAGTGCTTTTTACGTCACTTTCGGCAGATGATTTCAATTGAAATCCAAAAATGCATATATACCTAAGTGCATCAATCTTTTAAGACTTTTTCCTGAAAACAAAAATCAGCAAGACCTATCAAAGAGTCTCCACTACGTTCATTACTCTAAAAAACTTAAGGTACTCTTCAAAACGTTCGGATAAAACGTTTTCTGCAACTCAAACGACTCAAAAAGAGGCCTCTAAGCCGATATATTATAAGCCGAGTAAAGACAAAAATTCAAAAAGGAAAAAACTGTAATTGGAAATTTTAAACTTACAATCAACAGAAAAACAAACAATTTTTGAATAGAACCGGCATTTAAAATGCAAACATGCAGAAAAATTGTCTGTTCGTTGACGAAAGTACAGATGGTCATGGCCAATTTCAGTCATCGTACGAAGAAAGTTGTTTACGAGAAAAGAAAGAACCTAGTACTCGGTTGCAATACCCTTGCTTATCGGAAGGGCAAACAGCGAAAAAGCAGCTCTAGAAAGTGTTATATGAAAAAATAGAAATAAGCCTCGAACTAGTGAAAATTCGGCTAGGTCTAGGATTCGATCTGCGACCTACTTCAATCAAGAGATTTTGAGTCTCGCGCAAGAACACTGAGCCACCGACAAACACTACTCACTAATAAAGCAGCTACATATGCTAATAAAAAAAATTGCCAATGCTATTCAGCAAAAGTGGTACCAAATACAATTAAACACAATTTTGCGAGTAATAATTTGGAATATAACAAACTGAAGGCATGCAAACTAAGTTTGCATGTAACAAATCGCAGAGCATAAAGCCACATTATCAAAAGCTGTAAAGGTGCCCCAAAAGTGGCACCAATATTTGCGACTTAGGTTTAAAAAAAGAAGGTTGTTAATATTACACTAAGCTGATGCTAGTGTTAACAATTGAATTAAATAAATAAATTGAAACGGTAGAGTAAAATATAGCACAAAGTTTTTGATTTTCTTATGATTTATTATACACTTTGATTAACACTGAAACTTCTGAGCCAGTAGTGAATACAACAACCAGTGTGTTTGTGTAATACTAGAAACCTTAGCCTGATTTGCAAACAAACATCAAACTAATCTACCTTCCTGGCCAATTGAAGAGACAAAACAACAACGACTTGCTGTAAAAACAACACTAGAAGAGTTAACCCGATTCTCATAAAACGAACTACAAGATCTTTCAGAATCATCCAGCGATGAGACTTGAAGGCGTTTTGAACGAGTCGTCCACAATATCTCGGTTTACTCCTTGATTCTGCAGTTTACATTGGGTTGGGCAACAATTCGTAACAGGCGACAATTCGTAACAAGCGACAATTCGTCACAAGCGAAAATTCGTAAAAAGGCATTGCCAAGTAGTATAGGCTTGCTCCGCTGTGCTTAAAATAGTGCACATGAATCGATGTTCCCCGCTTAATCTGCTGTTATGAATTGTTGCCTGTTACTAATTGTCGCCTCTGTTACATTGGATTAAAAGCCCAGCAAATTGAGTACTGGAAGACACTTTATGAAAAAGCAAAAACAACAAATTACTGCAAACTCCTTATTACTCAAAAACCAGGGTTGGATCTAGAATTTTCTCGAGGAAGGTGTGTTTTCGACCAATTGATTATCCGAGCTCCCCCAGAACAATATAAAAACCCTATTTTGACAAATTTTTTGAAAAAAAAACTGATCAAAATTTAAAAAAAAAAAAAACAGATCAAAAATGCCGTTTCCGGGAACTTTTTTTGAAAGTTCTAACCAAAACTCCCCCTCAAAATTAGATTATATCGGCAACTTTAGGGCTTGTTGGCCGAAAATGGTGTTCAGAAAATAGTACCAAAGGGTGAACCCTTCAAGTGGTTAGGTGGTAGAGCCCCTTTGGGCGATGAGAGGTTCAAATCCCTTAATCCGCTCGTGCTGAAAAGCTAGTGAGGGGTCGAATCCCTTTGGTTGGCGAGGAGGTCGACTTCTCCACCCATAAATCCGCTAGTGCTAAAATTTCTCATGTCTATTTTTTCGAGTTGTCGCAGTAGCTGAGCCATGCAGACACATTTTTTCGCTCTGATTTCATTTAAAAACTAGCTGCGTAACCATTTCTAGATGGGTACCTAAACTGGATCTATCAAATTGCACATATAACTTTCCTTGTAAAATTTTTAGAGCGTGGCAGAAAAGTTAAACGTCAACAGAGGCGAAGCAGCACTTCGCAAACACTTGCGAGAACGCGACAAAAAACAGCTCTAAATGTGCAATAAGAAAAAGTAGAAAAAACACGGCTACGTCTCCGATTCCCCTTCCGACCTAGAGATTACGAGTCTCACGCGCTAACCACTCAGCCACGAGCGCTTAATAAACCACATACAATAGCCAAAAATAAAGCAGAAAACAGATGCTATGAAATTTCCAATGCTACAGATCGTCATTATAGCAGAAGTTTCACCCTTTAGTTGCGAGTTAGGTCGGAAAAAAAGATGTTCCGTACCAATACAGAACGCTCACAAACTCGCTAAAGTAAATACTGTTTTACAGTAACAGTTTTTGATTGGCACGTGATCTAAAAAATCGGAATGTCGTGACCCATCGTTCCTGATTTTCAGTTAAGCGATAACAGTGGGTCTCGAGAATATATGTACCAGTTATAGAATTTAAATTTTGAATTTAGAGACAGTATAAAGATCACATATGTGTACTTAAATACTGCATCAAGGTTACTGTACGGGCAGTACAGCCCAACTAGCAGTAACCTAAGGAAAACCTAGATAAATGAGTGAAAGCAAAACCGAGTTAAAATATGAAGGTACACGAAATTTACCCTATAAACATGTCAACAAGTAATCGATTGTCATTTAAGTACACTTTTTTTAATTTTACGTAAAAGTCTATCTTCTGTTTGTCAGTAAACTCGTTAAGGTTAAGCGGCAATAGGTTATTTGACATTAGGAAATTATAGCATTTCACAATTTTGTACGAAACCGAATTTTGTGCTAACTTTGATTTTCTCAAAGGTAAGGGTATACAACCTAAACTATTCGACCGGGTACTACGACGCGTTTTTACATAATCAAGATTCAAAAATTTTAAAGGTGATTTTCCAAGGAACTGAAAAATAGTCTCGGAAAACAATTGGCTGATAAAAATTTCATGTACACTCTGAAGTTGGAATTTTGAAAAATACTCCGACACATGATCATACTTTCGAAGGAAGAAAATGGTTCTTATGATTTTTTTCTGTGCCAAGAAAATTTTATCAAGGTTTGATTTCGATGTACATCCATAAGCTAATAAGCCATAAGAAATTAGTGGAATCACGTATGCAATGTAAAACTTAATTAATGCCTGTTTAGAGAAACAAGATCTTCCTCGATATAAAACACCATTAAAATTGGAAATTTTCGTGCAAACTTTTACAGTCTGCATATTAAAATTCAATTTTTTGTCAATTTCAATACCCAAATATTTGAAACTTTCTTTATTTTCCATGTTTTCACCAGCAATGGAAATTGAAGCATCAGGCATAGCTTTACCAAAACCCATCAGTTTACTCTTGTCTGTATTAATCGATAACTTGTTGACATTACACCAGTCATTTAGGCTCTGAGTATCTGTTCTGAATTCTTTCAAAAACGCTCTCGTTTTACCAGAACCAACAATAGCAGTGTCATCGGCAAAAAGGCTTATCTCGGATGTCTTTGTTACATTTGAAATATCATTGATATAAATCAAGAACAAAAAAGGAACTAAAACCGAACCCTGGGGAACTCCACAAGATATTTTTTCAAATGAAGAATTTATGATACCATCACTTACAAATTGTACTCTGTTAATTAAATAATTTTTCAACAAATATAAAAACTTACCACGGAACCCATACTTTTCTAATTTAATGATTAAGATATCGTGATCGACAGTGTCGAATGCTTTCTTAAAATCTAGAAAAAGTGCCATTCCACTATCTCTTCGTCCCAAAACTGAGCGCATATATTCGACTATACGTGAGATTGCCTGTACACATGAATGTTTTTTTCTGAAGCCAAACTGTTCAGGGCAAAGAATTTTATATTTCTGTAAAAAATCGACCATTCTTCTATAAATTAGTTTTCCAAAAATTTTGCTTATAGTTGATAGAAGGCTGATGGGTCGGTAATTATTAAAATCAATTTCACTTCCACTTTTGAACAGGGCTATCACTTTTGCTATTTTACAATCGTCAGGAAAAGACTCCGAGTCGAACATTTCATTAAAACAAACAACTAAGAGCTTCATAATGACTGGTGCACAAAGTTTAATCATTACATTACTGAAACCATCATGACCATTCGAGTTTTTGTTCATCAGGTTCTTAATAACCTTCGCCATTTCATCAACATCAGTGGGAAAGAAAACAAAAGTTTCAGATTTTCGTGAAATTTTATCGTTGTATTTAAACTCCACGAAGTTTTTTGAAAGTGTGGGTCCAATGGTAGCAAAAAATTTATTCATGTCATTCACCTCTAATTTGCACGAATTGGATTTCTTTTTCCCACAAAATTTATTGAAAGCTTGAAGCATTTTTTTGGAATCATTACAACTTCCAAGTTGATTGTCATAAAACTTTCTTTTCTCCGTCATATTCAGCTTTTTCGCCTCATTTCTCAATTTTTTGAATTTCGCTTTTGTTTCATCGTTCGGAAGTGTTACCATTTTTTTGTGAGCAGCGTCTCGTTTTTTGCATATTTGTTTCACATTGTTGGAAATCCAAGATTTTTTCAATTGTTTTGGAAAATCAATTGGTTTCAAAGGACAAAACTTATCAAAAACATTAATCATTGAATACGTTAAACCGTGGATTTTTGTATTTACTGATTCCTTCTCACTCAACTTTTCCAATTTGACATGTAGAAGAAATAATAACTTAAGTAGGTTGTCATCAAGCTTCAGTTTTTTAAAATTTCTGGTATAAATAACAGTTTTGCCAGGCATTTCAACCGAAAACGGCAATTCACCCAACAATGCATAGTGATCACTAATTGTGGTTTTGATAACTGTCACCGGATAAAAACCTTCTGTTATAAAGTGGTCAATGCATGTTGCACTATTTTCAGTAACTGTGGTTGGTTCACTCAAACAAAAATCCAAATCAAAAGACTTTAAAAGCGTTTTATAACTTCTGGTTTTTCATCCTTGGCAAGAATATCAAAATTAAAATCTCCCACAATAACTGGATTTCCTTTTAATAGTCGAAGTTCA